AAGAGACACGAAACTTTCACCCGAGTAGACAGTTATTTGAATCACTACGTAAGAAGCATTGAAAAGCCGAGGGCTACCAATGTGTGGCAGCCTTAACAACCGGTGATGACTTCCATTCTCTGTGCCAGCTCTACTGCTTGTTACCCACTTTGACGCCTCGTCGACTTGCCTTATGTGATTGGTGCAGCTCAGAGCACAATGCCGAGAGCCATAGTCAAATAGACAAAATAAGGAAGAGTGACGTGCAGGCTTGCGGCGGTAGAATGAATCCCACACTACAAATACCGCCATTTGCGAAGGCGCCTCCGTCACGTCCAAATCGACTGGAGCCACCCAATGGCTGATGAGATGTAGGTATGAGTATTTGAGGGTCGCCTGTTCTTTGGCTGAACAGAGTCAAGCACTTGAAGTGCTTGCGTCAGCAGTCTTTGCAATCGACTGCCAATGTGTTTCGTTAGAAGGAGGAATTGGAGCACATAGAAGGCACCATCTGAAATGCAGAAGACACTGCAATATTTCAGTGGGATGAATCGTCAAAGCAGGCTTACTTTTAGGAGAGTGCTTGCTTACATCCATCTTCAACACAGACCTCCATTTTATTCATTTATTCATAACTTAATATCAAACTACGACCATACCGAAGAGCACGCCAACCATCACCTCACTTCATAAGTATTCATAGGTGCAGGGTAGACAATTCGGGAGTGGGCCTTGTCAAAGGCAAAATGTGCGGCTTAGTCCATGTCATACAACCATTTAAGAACTTATGAGCAATTGATTCAAAATACAAGAGCTTCGGCCAATCGGGTTGGTGCAAATAATTTAATTTAAGTGGCTGATGGCATTGCTAGAAAACCACGACATTTTAAAGAGGAGAGTAAATTAAATCACATGTTCTCTTCCTTAGCTTCGTGCATGACTGCCGTTCGGATCATCTTTCCACTTTGATCATCACAAATTGGCTGGTGCTTGAACAACCGGCCATGATATTTCCACCCACTCTTTTGAATGCTTCTGCATGTGAGGAGACATTTGGTGAGAACCTCACCACTACATACTAGTTGAGATGCAATATCCGTGCTTCCATTCTGTCAGTGAGCTGCATTGTGGATGAAGGAATGCATTGGCTGCAATTGTTTCCGATCAGTGCTCGCGGTAAAGTTACACAGGAGCGTCCAACTACATTGCAGTCACTTTTGGGCGTATTCGATGCAAAGATGTGGAATCACATCAATTTTCATTTTAGTAGCACGTGTCATCGAGGCAATTCACTTAAAATGAATGCATGCGTGACTGATATATCTGGACACATTCATGCCAGATTGTCGTTTCTGTAACCAAACTAGGCGCATGCTTCGTTGCGTTCCAATGGCCTGGATTGCTGAGCCATGGGGCATGGGTGGGTCCCATTCTTTCGTCTTTGTTTGTAGTGTGTCGGGTGGGGCGGAGAAGGGCGAGGGGGCACAGGAGGTGGCACTTAGTCAAACGGTGTCTATTCGGTGTTCACAATGCCCTGGTCAATTAGACAACTGCTTGATTTGACCACTGCACCAGTCTTGTACAAGCAGAAAGAATAGATACTGCACTTTATGTACATCGTGATATCACCAACACGGATGTCTGCAAGCTTAGTCTTGAGGCGCATCACCTCCATAGGTGTGAACTGTGGGTGGACGAACAGTGAGATTGTACCTACGTTAGTTACCTTCATTTAAGGTTTCGCTTCAGCCAGTG